GTCTAAATAAGGTTATGTCACATTCACAAATGAGAACAAGGTATACAACAACGGTACCAGAAGGCAAACTAACACGCCCAACTCAAGGAAGTGAAATAACATTTAAATTAAGTTAAGAAGTGTGGTTTAAATGATAGTTACTATTGACAAGGTAGGTTCCTTCTAGTTATTTTATTGTATGTTAATGCATATAGGGGTAAAGGGTATATCTGCATTATCATTTAGGAATATTGAAAAACCGTTCCTTTTATTGGGTGAGTCTAGTCGGCTTTCTACATGCCTTTTCAGAAAATACCTATATTTATTTATGTCAGCGAAGAGGTGGTTAGGATTTGTGCTGAGGAACTCGCACCTGTAGGAAGACCACAGTGTGAGGTTCGTCACTTTGGGGGGAATTTGTTTAGGTATATTTATTTAGAGAGGGAAGTAGACGGAGTCGGGCAGCGGGAGATGGTAAACAATGGTGTAGAGATGGTAAACCATGGTGTCGAGATGGTAAACCATGGTGTCGAGATGGTAAACAATGGTGTCGAGATGGTAAACAATGGTGTAGATATGGTAAACAATGGTGTAGAGATGGTAAACAATGGTGTAGATATGGTAAACAATGGTGCAGAGATGGTAAACAATGGTGCCGAGATGGTAAACCATGGTGTCGAGATGGTAAACAATGGTATAGATATGGTAAACAATGGTGTAGAGATGGTAAACAATGGTGTAGAGATGGTAAACCATGGTGTCGAGATGGTAAACAATGGTATAGATATGGTAAACAATGGTGTAGAGATGGTAAACAATGGTGTAGATATGGTAAACAATGGTGCAGAGATGGTAAACAATGGTACCGAGATGGTAAACCATGGTGTCGAGATGGTAAACAATGGTATAGATATGGTAAACAATGGTGTAGAGATGGTAAACAATGGTGTAGAGATGGTAAACAATGGTGTAGAGATGGTAAACAATGGTGTAGATATGGTAAACAATGGTGTAGAGATGGTAAACATTGGTGTAGATATGGTAAACATTGGTGTAGATATGGTAAACCATGGTGTAGAGATGGTAAACAATGGTATAGATATGGTAAACAATGGTGTAGAGATGGTAAACAATGGTGTAGAGATGGTAAACAATGGTGTAGAGATGGTAAACATTGGTGTAGATATGGTAAACAATGGTGCAGAGATGGTAAACAATGGTACCGAGATGGTAAACCATGGTGTCGAGATGGTAAACAATGGTATAGATATGGTAAACAATGGTGTAGAGATGGTAAACAATGGTGTAGAGATGGTAAACAATGGTGTAGATATGGTAAACAATGGTGTAGAGATGGTAAACATTGGTGTAGATATGGTAAACATTGGTGTAGATATGGTAAACAATGGTGTAGAGATGGTAAACAATGGTATAGATATGGTAAACAATGGTGTAGAGATGGTAAACAATGGTGTAGAGATGGTAAACAATGGTATAGATATGGTAAACAATGGTGTAGAGATGGTAAACAATGGTGTAGATATGGTAAACAATGGTGTAGAGATGGTAAACATTGGTGTTCATATGGTAAACAATGGTGTAGAGATGGTAAACAATGGTATAGATATGGTAAACAATGGTGTAGAGATGGTAAACAATGGTGTAGAGATGGTAAACAATGGTATAGATATGGTAAACAATGGTGTAGAGATGGTAAACAATGGTGTAGATATGGTAAACAATGGTGCAGAGATGGTAAACAATGGTACCGAGATGGTAAACCATGGTGTCGAGATGGTAAACAATGGTATAGATATGGTAAACAATGGTGTAGAGATGGTAAACAATGGTGTAGAGATGGTAAACAATGGTGTAGATATGGTAAACAATGGTGTAGAGATGGTAAACATTGGTAAACATTGGTTTAGATATGGTAAACAATGGTGTAGAGATGGTAAACAATGGTGTAGAGATGGTAAACAATGGTGTAGAGATGGTAAACATTGGTGTAGATATGGTAAACATTGGTGTAGATATGGTAAACCATGGTGTAGAGATGGTAAACAATGGTGTAGAGATGGTAAACAATGGTGTAGAGATGGTAAACATTGGTGTTCAGATGGTCAACAATGGTGTACAGATGGTAAACAATGGTGTAGAGATGGTAAACATTGGTGTTCATATGGTAAACAATGGTGTAGAGATGGTAAACAATGATGTACAGATGATTACCCAAAATAATGGAAATGGACATATGTAGTTGATTTATATGAATCGACTTTCCATAAATATCTTGATAGATAAATGGCCCTATTCAGTGGACCACTATGACGATGTTTTTGTAAATTAAATTGCAACCTTTTTGATATAGTTACAATTGGTATGTCTCTTTTTTGTGGTGTGATATATATTGAATGTCAAACTGAAGACATCTTAGTTAAGTCATTAAAGAATTAATTTTTAATGTTACTTCATGAACTGAATAGGAAATCAGCCGAAAAGCGCCATTCCTTGAACCGGAATTGTGTCGCGGCGTGTTGCGATATTTCATCCGACTTGTTGTTGTTATTGTTGTTTGTTTTCCTTTAACCTATGTTGTTTACATTTCGCAGTTGATTCGATCTCAAAGTTCTCATTATCACGATTTTTGCAAACTGGTGAGCAAATTCGTAACACATGGTATCAAAAGGCGCAGGTTGAAAATTACGGAGAAGTTTTAGTTTTCGTCATACTGATCTCATTCAGAAATATCCTATTTCTTTGTGCGATGTGAAGCTGGAGATGTTTCATGTTCGTTAGTTTGCCTGTTGGTTCCGTTGTTATATTACGTACTAGGATTTACTTGGCGAGCGTCGTCGATGAAGTAGAAGACGCTTACTCTTCCGGAATACTTAGTCTTATTCGCCTTGAACGGATTTTAATGAATCTCCTTGTGAATTAGTTTACATTTTCCCTAGTTTTGGATAAGTCTGAATTATGATTATGTCGACATTTTGATATTTTCTTATTGTTTTGTTGGTTTCTCATTTTGATGGTTTATAGTGTAATTATTGTGATGGTGGTATTTGTTGTTATGGCGACTGCAACAGGGCTCAAATTAGCCAGGGTACGGAGATATACAAAACCTTAGTAATTCCATATGGCAGTAATAATGTTTCAGTCCCTACGGATTTCTCCAGACAGAAATCTGTAGACAAATGACAAAGAAGATAGATCCTAATCCTGCATCAGTTCCTTTTTACCATAATGCACGGGGATAAACCGAGTCAATCATTTCCCTTAAAACTGCAACAGTGGCGGATTACAGAATTAGATTCTTTGTAAACATAGACTAAACCTATCCGTTAAGACCTAAATGCAGCTTTCTGCACTTATCCAATATAATTCGAGATGTGGTGACGAGTTTGGTAAGCACGCAGAACAGGTATACATTAATGGGCTATATTAACGCTGCGTTGTCAATATTACGTTAACACTGGAGTTGTACTGGCATATCAATTCGATGGGAATTTGTTTTTCATATTCCCCTGATGCTGTTGATGAAAACCGAAACGTAGAAGCAGTCACATCACCAGACGCCCTGGAATTAACAGTTTTAAAATATATATATAAATATATTTGTAGCATGATCTGTCTCCATTACACCAAACCATTAATTCTTTGTATCGGTGGAAGCCGTTAGAGGCATACATCAATGTGTGAAATATTTTGGATGATCGAACACGGGACGGTATTGTGGCAGTCGGGTCGTGAAGACGACTGATCACGTGACTTGACAGTTATTGTTTACGGCTATTGATCTGGTATACGTGTCTGTATGTATATATATATATATATAGACAGATAAGCGTGGTGAGAGCGCAAGTCTCGCGCCGAGAAGCAGACGAATATCAGGATACAAGCGCATGCCGTCACGCCTGTTTGGCTGCAACGCGCGGGAAATAATCCCTTACGTCATCTTTAAGAAATGCGAATCGATTAGACATGTTGTCTGGTACTCCGTCAACCAGGGTAACAAATGGAATTTTTACAAAGCATTCAAACATCGTAATTCAGGCTGTTTCAGGCAGCAGGTTCACAAGATATTTTAACGAAATAAAGAATAGCGATTCCTTTAAAAGAAATAAATATCTCTGTCAGAAATACAAGTATATTTAAAATAAATATAGATATACATGACAGAAACAGTGATTTATTTAAAAGAAAGACTTATGACTTAATCGGACCGCTGACCAGTGTATGTATGTATGTATGTATGTATGTATGTATGTGTGTGTGTGTGTGTGTGTGTGTGTGTGTGTATCTATGTATGTATGTAGAAACTATATACTGTAAAATCATATATTTTCGTGGAACCCAATTATCTTGGTTTTTATTCTCGAGAACTTGATTTCGTTAGTGAACATTCTAACTGTTTAATTTTTGACCTATAAATTCGTGGATTTAGAGGACATACGGAATCAGCAAAAAGAAATCTCCCCGAAAATGAATGCTATTAAAGTACGGCTAAATAGAACATATAAAAGGATGATAGGTGGTACAGTTTCACTATTAAGTTACACAGGGTTGAATACAAAACGTGATCATTTCTTTTTTTATTGTTTGTTTCAGGCTGAACAACTTAACGAGGAACAGATTGCTGGTAAGTTACATGTGATTGGGCTTCATATTTTAGGTATAGTCATGATCTGAGAGTTATTAGGAGAGTGCTAAAGATGTGTTGGATAGAAATCCATCCATCTGTGTCGCGCAGCTATCGATCAACCAACCATGAAGGCGTTTACAATTTCGTTGCTAGATGCAATTAGACGAAACTATATACTATGTAAGAAATCAGCCACCATATATGCGTGTGCTAAACATGGGTCCACGTGCTTTTTATACCCTTGTTAAAGCAAAATGGATTTCCCATTAGACTGCTTAGATTGATAGGGTTGTGTTTTATGTATATATTGGTGTTCAACATGAGTCCTTTTTAAAAGTGGACTAGAAATAAGTAGTGCCAAACTTTAAATCTACAGAATTCAAAGAGGCGTTCAGCCTGTTCGACAAAGATGGCGACGGTACCATAACAACCAAAGAGTTGGGAACAGTGATGAGGTCACTAGGTCAGAACCCGACAGAAGCCGAGTTACAAGACATGATCAACGAAGTGGATGTGGATGGTAGGTCTCATATCAGACAGGTATTACATTTCCTTTACAAAATATTTGTCTTCTAATTCCATGTCACATTGTTCAATTCATTGAAATCGTTCTGACTATGATTATTAAAATGGACAAGTAGACTAGTATCATTATATTCGTACATGGATACAGTACCGCCAACTAGTGAGTTTAGTTGTACCGTGAATCTATTTCGTCCTTCTAGGACTTAACAATGATACTTTAATCCTACACAAAGACCGTTAAGTATTTCATGTGGTGTAAGTCCGAGCAAACATGCACATAGAACCCTCATGTTCATGTGGTAGTCCCTGTGAGGATGCTGACCACTTCTTGCTGCACTGTCCGAACTTTGACCCCCTGAGAAACCTCATGCTTTACGAAATCCAAGTAGTTGATATGCACCTTGCCCCCAGTCTTGACTTATTACTATATGGCTCTCCCGATATTGACAGTTTAAAAAATATAGGAGTATGCAACGCTGTGCAGCAATATGTTGAGCGCTCTGGGAGATTCGGGTAGACTTCATACAAGTGGGAACCATGTATATATACATTGTACGATATGTTAATAATTCACTTTGGACATATTTTGACCCAGTCTTGTAATATCTTGTGATACCTAATTGTACTTTTTAGTTTATGTTACTGCTCTGGAACTCAATAATACAAGTTATGGTGATGCCTATTTTGCATTTCTGTTATATAATCATCCATTTGAATTCTTATTCCTAATATTATTATTATCTGTTATCTTTAATTTTGATTGATGTGTCTGTATACCTGTTTATGCACTGTAAGGAGAGGGCTTTCATAGGCTCTGCCTGTTGCCCAATTCCTACTGTCAATACCACCAAGGCAATAAAATATTCTGAAATCAAAAAAAATAATTCACTTTGATTTGTATATTTATATGCCATCTCGTCTTGTTTTCTTAATGTACATTTATTTATAAGGAAAAGACCTCGTAAGTTAAAATAACTTGTGTCTAATCCTTTTGCTCTTACCATTGACAATAAAATATGTTCAAACTAAACTAGTCCATTTAGGATTTATACCATTAAGGACTTTAGGATATATGTTACGCATTACGTATAATTCCACGTGTACTTCGTACTAAACCCTTTGCTTTTTGTTAGATCTATTTTAATACGTGGAATCTATCGTTTCTACATTATCTTTTATTGCATCTATGTAGTATACAGTAACATATTACGAATGTTTTGGTTTTGTTTTTTTATTGCTAAAAAGGCTCTATTCGCTTATGTGTCTTTTCCACAATCTTCACGGTTCAGGATATATGCATGTGCTTGGCACTGTTCTAATATTATCTAATTTATGAAAATTACGAAATTTATTTGATTAATGGGTTGCTGCACCTCCCCGTCTAGATTTGACTTTTCTTTTTGAGTAATTTCAATTTTCCTCAGTCGCCTCTTAGGCTTCACAATTCAGGCCCTTAGCATCACTGACGAGTCCTAGAAGGACGACACAGCTGCATGACGTAGCATCACTGACGAGTCCTAGAAGGACGAAACAGCTGTATGACGTAGAATCACTGACGAGTCCTAGAAGGACGAAACAGCTGTATGATACAGTTTACTTCATTGTTTGGTTCTACTGTATCTAACTCTAAATTATTAAAAGGTGCTATTCATTTGTGATGTGAGTCTTTTGTAAATCATTGTAATTTCACGTGATTTTGCATCGTTCGGTCTATGATAATTTTGGTAGATTCTATTCACAGTACTTTTTTATCGATTTTATTTACGACTGTTTTGCTCATTTTCTTTTTTCTTATTTTTTCATTTTGTGTGTGTGTGTGTCGAATTCGAAATTTGCTTGAATTCAAACATTTTGTCAACGCCATAAAGAATACTTTCTGTTTTGCGCTGATCAATAAAGAATCTGATTTCAGGAAACGGAACTATTGACTTTCCGGAATTTCTTACCATGATGGCGAAGAAGATAAAGGATTCTGATTCAGAAGCAGAGTTGCGAGAAGCATTTAAAGTGTTCGACAAGGACAGAAATGGCTTTATCAGTGCAGCCGAACTTAGACATGTGATGTCAAATTTAGGAGAAAAATTAACAGACGAAGAAGTAGAGGAAATGATTCGGGAAGCAGATACGGATGGTGATGGACAAGTTAATTATGAAGGTAAATAATCTTATTTCTGGCAAAAGTGAGTTATACATGTTCATGTTGTTTAATCACAAGTAAATCCTGCAGCTAAAGATATTGAATTCAAATTATTTTCAAATAACTGTTTGCCCCTTTCCTTTATAATCTTTAATATTTGTGTAGTGAATATAAAATCCTGAGCTTCAGATGAAATTTAAATACAATGATAGCTAATAAAATTAAAATTTATAACACTTTCTATACAGAGGCAAATAGATATATAAATTATTTGTTTATTTAGAACAAGACTCTGTTTACAAACCTTGCTATAAACAAACTTTATACTATCATAAACCTGCAAAGGTATTTCACGGTGCGACAGCGAGACTTGCTTAAGCGACATCAGAACTCATAAAATGACGGCGGGAAATCCAATGTAAAAAAGATAAGCAACATCCCCATAAATTTATCTGTGTTCAAGAAATCGTTAAAGGTTTAAATGTAGGGTCAATATCAAGAGCAGATTCATTCAAAGTAGATATAAAAGTTAAAAAGATAGCAATAAAGAAATGTTTAAATTGTGAGGATAATGAAAATATAATAAACGTTGTGAATTTTTCAATCTTAGGTGGACTTCTAGAGATATAGTTTTGTATCTCTCAGTGACCTTTGAAATCATAAGTGATTTTAAGTCTCTAATGATATATGAACGTCACTAAATATCTTTTATGAATATCGAGTGAGGTATATCTTGACGAAATTTGAATAATGGAGACGAAATGTTAATAATAGAGACGAAATTTTAATAATAGAAACGAAATTTTAATAATGGATTGATTATCAAGAATTGGAGAAAGAGAAAATAAAGAAAACTCGTAGAAATGAAGAACAGGGGAAAACGTCTTATACGTGAAAATGAAGAACATTTATCATTAGTTATAGTTTTAATGCTGAGATAGAATAGGATCAAATCTCTAAATACTGCTGTATAGTTTCAGTCTATCTAAACTTCTAAATTAATCACATTTTAAAACTCATAACTAAATCCTCAAATAACTGAGCATTGTATTTAATATTTTAGAATGGCACTTATTTGAGTATTTTTCAGTTTTTATTGCCATGGTTACCACTTTAGATTTTATCATTTTTTGTAAAAATTTTGAATAAGAAACCATAGAACATAATCTTGGATAACTTTTAAATTTTTACATATAATGAAGTTTTAGTGACTTGATTTCATATTCTTTATTCTATCTTATATTTGTTCAAGCATGCACTTTATAATTGCTAAAACAAAATGTATCCGAAATATTGCCAAAATTGACTGAAAATTATCAGAATTTCCCGAATAATTGCTCATTTTTGATGGTTGCCATGGAAAGCATGCTTAAAATAGCAAAACAAAATTGCTATTCTAATGGTATTGGGATTTTTGTCTTAATTCGACTGGAGAGTTTGATCATGGCTTTCGAAATTCGATCAATTGGGGGGCTAATATGGCCGAATTGAAACGCAGCCTGTTTAATCTACCCTTTCCTCTGTGAACAGCAGAGATAATCTCGTGGTTCCCGCTTGTTTATTGAACAGGTGATCGCTTAGTGTTGATTATACACTGCTTAAAGTAACTACAGACTGATTAACCTGTCAATAATAAAACGAAAACATACAGGTGTTGTATGTATTTACATATTTTGTTTCCATACCTGTAAATATCGGTCTTGTTTACAGTCTAATGACTTTAACATCCATAGACTTTTAATAACATTTTTACACCTGTTTTTTATTGTGTGTATACATGCATATTGAACAGTTGTGAGTCTCATTATTATGCATGTTAAGATTGGGCGATACCATATTTCACAAAGGAGAGTGTTTAAATTTTTCAGCAGTATCGGTTACATGTAATTTCCTGCCACGATGTCAGGTTATGCACAATGAATTTTTGTTTACATTAACGTTTATGGTGATACAAAAATTCTCTTACTATCATGCTTATTTAGACACTTTCTAATAAAGTGATGTACCAAATCCTTTTTTATATCCCGATCATAGTCTATTTGGTATAGTAATGGTAAAATCCTTGTTATATCAGAGTAAAGGTATTTTATAACAATGAACCAAATTATATATACAAACTTGTTCTTATCTCTCCTGTTAATATCACATCCAGTTCATTTAAAAATCCTGGGCTTTATGAAGAGCTAGTCAATATCATATCAACAATCATTCCGGTTTATATCACGATGAGTAAGAATATATTTTTTTCGATTATGGTGGTGATATTTATCAAATAACCTCTTTTGTATTATTTTTTTTTTTTTTTTACAGAATTCGTTAAGATGATGCAGACATCTTCCGGTAAATAGGGATATTCCATCGTCTTTGTCAACTGTTTTGTGGAGACCGTTGATCGTGAATGTTTTCTGTTTATAAAACTTCATTCTCTAACAGTGTAATAGTCTTCCGATTAAACCATATTACATTTTCACTCCGCGATTTTCATATAATCACATTAGTTCTTTGAGAGTGATGATCAAGAAAAGAAAATGTCTTTGTTTCTATAATGAGTTAATTTTCCTTGCAATCTTTTATTCACTAATGTAATCTTATCAATAACATTTTTGTTCCTATTATGAATTTCGATGAGAATGTTGGAAGCATGTATTTCTGATTGAATTCATGAAAGCATTTGGCTATTGGCATACTTTGCAAGAAAATGTCTATTATGCTAAAATGGAGCATACACGGTGCTGCATTGAAAAGGTCGGTAGCTTGGTGAATAACTAACCTGGTGAAGATTATAATCGCACTGCCAGAGTCGCTGAGTATCCAAGTCCACCAAGCTGCAGAAATGAATACCCATGTAGGGACGTAATTTTGTGAAAGACAGGCGTCAACCGATATGAATGTCATTTCCTCTCTATGTGACATGGAAACAATGATATGTTTTTCATTCTATTGACAAAATGATTGAGTAAAAATTTATCCGGGTATTTTTTCGCTTTTTTTTTTTTTTTTGACAAAGTCTGTAAAATGTGTTGTAAAAATGCTATAACTAATATGGCAGATTATAATAAAACGATGCCTTATTATTATTAACAGTCTCCGTCATACTGAGGAAGAAAAATACTTTGTAAACAAATTTTGAGAAAAATGAACCTGTGGTCTTTGATATCAAATATTTTTGGACCAATTACTTTACCATACAGCAAAATCTGCCAATACACTGAATTCGGTGGGAATGCCGTTACAAAAATTTAATTAAAAGCATACTGTTAATATGTCTGGGGTCACACGAGACAGATGGAGCATACTGGTATTCTTATTGTGCTTTATCGATATTTCAAACACTTCTACACATACTATGTGATCTATATATGGTAACATGTCAGAGGGCTATAAAATATATATACAGTGTATTTCACTCTGAAAACTATATGTTTACAGTATTCAGGTGGAATTTGTCTACAGTTTCTTTATTGACAATAATAGATGAATGAATCATTCAAGATACTTCTAAAATCAATTTATCATAAAAACTAACATTGGATTTGAGCATACAGTAGTGAAAATCTATCAACCATTTCTTTCAAATACAGTTAATATCAATACAGTTTCTTCTGTAATTCTAATAATTTTGAAAGAAAATTGTCAACTTGGGCTTTTCAAGTCTATTTGAAAAGACACTGCCATGTCTTTTGGCTTGGTTCCTTGTCAATTGTTATGGTGATGTTATGTCCTAAGCAGCCTGCTGAACATGTTGTAGTTTAAGTCCTGTGACCTCACCGACACCTCCAGAAACGAGGCACTACCAGGATTCTAGCAAATGTCGATATTGAACCATTTGGGAATCTTCTTCTTAAATCCAAACTCACAAGTAGCCAAAAAAGAGGCCATCCTCCAGTTGCAGGCGTCCTATTTCCAGCCAAAATTGAGTGATATGTATTATCGGGTGTTTTGGCATCGGTGACTAAAAGAATTAATTTTTCAAAATAATGTTTTGTTTAAAAATAAGATTTAAAAAAACACACATACAAAAAAATTTAAAAAGACACAAACCAATGTAATGTAATTTGAATTTAAAACATGTACAACTGGAAAAAAAATAATGTATTTGCAAGACCGCGACATGATTGTCGTCAAATCAACTATTATAGACAACAGTTAATTTATAACTTCAGAAAACACTTAAAGTTTAAGCATAACAACTGTGAAATAAAAACAATTATCGTATTGAAAATTATTTAATCACAAAAAGCCATCACAATCCCCTTTCCTTAATGTAATAAATTTGTAAAAGTCGTCTTCAGATTGAGAACATTTTGACCCTTACTACTTTCACTTATGTTTTATAATACAATTGTATACGGAAATGACAATTCCAGAATAACATTAAGGTGTTTAATTATAGCCTAGATATTGTAAGGCTAACGAGAAAAAAATCTTTGTTTTCTATATATTTCAGTTAATTTCACTGCAGTTCATTATTACAACAGTAAAACTTTTGATATAGATTTGTTTTGCCTTCCAATCTTACTTCCGAAGACTGGTAAACTGTCATGTATACTTGAAATCTATGTAACAGGAGATATACAGAATGTTGACAGTAATATGAAAGTTCCGTTAACGAAGACAAATATTTAAAAGCAAGAAAATCAACGTCTGTAAATGTGACCAAGAAATCTGGATTTCAGAATAAATATCTGGTGTCTACCGTTAAATACAGGTTAATGTAGTCGGGAAATTTAACCGTTATTAAAAATAACATCTGGCAATTTTCGGAAATTGATCATATTTACATACACTACAGACGGCTTTTCTATCCAATGGAATTATTTTTATCTTTTGTTATAGGTTCGTGTGTTATCATGATTAATTCTGGGTAAAGCATGCTTACTGCGGTTATACACGAGTGCGGCACATCGATTCCTGAGACTGTGGAAACACCCTGTTAGAAATCATTTATATCAGAGTATTCTATAATGCATCGCTTTTGGTAATATGCAGTGATGTATCTTTTTATATCAATAAAATTC